CATATTTGATCAAAACTGTTTCAAAGTTTGCATAAGGTAAAGCTAATATTGATGTCTTGCTTGGGTCACCAAAAATTAGTCTTTTTTTTTTTAATCTGGGTTCTACTTCTTAATCTTAATACTTGCTCTCTTCTTCCATCTTGATTATCCTTTCTTATCTTCTTTTTACCACCTAATCTTCTTCTCAAATTCTTTCTCAAAACTCGATTTTCAGATATCACCTCTCCATCCCGATTGAGTTCATTTACCACGGGTGATGTACTCAGAAACTTCCTCTGAGTCTTTCATTCTCATGCTTTCAAACTCGTCATACAAGTGTTAAGTGGTAAAAATTTGATATAATTATACTTTGAATTGTTATGAAATCACTTAATTTATGTTAATTCTAATCTATTTTTCTCCCAATGTAGGATGAATTCGAGAATACCTTGATACAAGAGTAAGGAGCATAATTGTCAACACAATTGGAGCAAAACTGAAAGGAGGAAGAAGATTTTCAGCATGGAAGTCACTCGAGCGAGATAAACTCTTACTTGAGCGAATATCAATTATTCTTCTCTGAAAGTCAGTCGCTCAAGTGTCAGTGAATTTGCTTTAGCGAATATTAGTTATTCGTCTCTGGAGCTCACTCGCTCAAGCAAGCGATTTGTCGCTTGAGCGAAAATAGGGAACTTTCGCTTGAGCGAGTGTTGTCGCTTGAGCGAAAGACACGAAGCCCAAAAGCCTAATTTCTCCTATAAAAAGATAAGACGAGTTTTGAGAGGGGGTAAGCAGTTTTGGGGAGAAGAGGCGCGACTATTGTTAGGGTTTCGTCAAATCTTCATCAATTCTTCACTTCTTTCTCATTTGGAGCATTATAATGGCCAACATGAGTGGCTAACTTCATTCTCTTGGGATTTGGTGCACTTCCTTTTAACTCTTTTGTATCATGGTGATATTTGGAGATATTAATCTATGTTTTGATGTTGTTATTCTTATCCTTTGTGTTTTGGAATGATTTATTCTTGATGTTTGAGATATGATTGGAAAATATATCTTGAACCCTAGATCACGGTAAGAATATTTGTTACGTTAATTGTCAGGAATGGAATGAATGTATCAATTGCTTAACACCCTAAACCTAATGCTGGAAAATCTCTTAATTGTGTGAGGAATCAACATTTATTAGGTTTTCTTATGAATTTCATGTGTGAGGAATCAACATGGATGATTTGAGTAGGTGACATCAACATTGTTAGGTTAATTGACATAGTCATTACAAAAGAGGGATAAAGAAAGAAGTCAATCCTAAGTGTCTTTAATTGATCTTTTCTCAACAATTTACAGTTTGTCGTTTAATTTCAATTCAACTATTTATGCAAAACTCAATTTGTTTTAATCCACTTATTAAGTATATAATTGGGAATTTCTATTGAAACCGTTTCTCGTGGAATAGACTTTTATTTAATCGAAATACTATACTGCAATTGATAATTTTGGTACGCTTGCTAATAATTCAACAACAGGGTCTGTAACCGAACCTGTTTGATTCGATCGTCGCCCTTGTATGTTATCTCCAACATCATCCACGCTTTTTTTACAAATTTTGCATATGTAATCTTCTAGAAATCGGTATCTTCTACAAATTGAAACAATGTAAACATAGTTGCACTGTCTTTCTCACGATTCTTCTTCAAGGCTTTGAGGAGAACCTTCATTTGGACGCTCCATCTATCATAACTGACTTTCTTCGTCAGTCGGGCACAACTGCAGTATTTGTTAGAACAACCATTTCTCACTAAAAAACTTTTTTTTTTACACTCAACAACTCAAACTCTAGATCTCCCTGAGAAACCCTAGTTCTTGATACCAATTTGATAAAAAAATTTATGAGAAACTAATTTTTATTGTTTTTTTGTCATATATCAAATAAGAAATACAATTACTTATTTAACTTGTGTCAAAACCTCTAATCATAATTAGGAATTTAAACAATAACACCCAAAATATCATCAGTCTCAAAAGCGTTCAACTTGTTACAAAAGATTCCAAGAAACCTTTTAAAATTAATTAACTTATTAGTAATTAATTAGGAAAAAAAGTTGTGTCACTTGTATACTACACCTCATGTATTCATTTGTAATTATATATATATATATATATATATATATATATATATGTATATATATATATATATATATATGTATATATCAGTGAGTGTTTGTTTATACTGCTTGTAAATAACATTGCATATTTGTTTTCTTTTAACTGATATGCGTGTTTTATAAACACCTAAAAATGGTTAATAGAATATTTGATAGTTTAAATCTTACGCTGCTTTCATGTTGGAATATGATTGTGCTCTAAGCAAAATGCAACTTCTTGTTATTAGATTGAAAACAATGCAACTGAAGTAATATATTTTAATAAGTTAAAATATTGCGCTGAAAACAATAGAAAGGAAGTCACACAGGTACACGTTACACAATCGTATTTATTTATTGATAAAGTGAGAACTTTTCCAAATGCTATAAAAAGTATGAACAGAGACGCCGCAGCTGCCACAAAAATAAGAAATTTTCTCCTCCACTGGATATTTATAGCCTTAATTTGGTTATAAATGTATTATTTTTTTGTTAAATTAACTGAAATTTGATATTACTTTATCAATAAAACTAACATTTTTTTATCTTATTACAAGAAAAGTAAGTTGATAAGATTGTGATTTGTTTCTACTAAAACGAATTACATTATTTCATTGAACTTATTTTTCTTTTAAAATTTAATTATTCTTAACTATTTATTAGTTAATTAATTTTATATGACTAAATTTATTAAGGTAGACTCATATGATAATCAAAATTATATATTTTGCATGACTAACATTAATTTTTTAATTGTCTTGTTATTTAGTTTTGATATTTTCCCATATTGTAATTCTATATATGATCAATTATAAAAATCACTATAGAGAAAAAGCAATCTTTATGAAAAAACAAATGTTGAATATTAATTAGTATAGATTTAATTTAATAAAGTAAACAACTGGAAGCAAATTGCAAGTCTAAATAATTAGAGAGACCGAGGGTTTTATATACTCAATCCCAAGTTTTATTTAATTGTTTAATTATCAAAGAAAGTTCTATTTTTATTAAGAAATGAATCCTTAATCGTCTTCACGTATTTTTTAGCTGGATAGCTCCTTCTCTCGATCTCTTGGCATTTTTTTTTTTTGGCATAATGATGTCTCATTTTCCTTAATTATGTGATATTTGTATAATTCATTTATTAATATCTAAAAAATTTCTAGTCTTTAATTTCGTTAAGTTTTTATATTTCGATAAATCTTTTTCAACATCTCTTTTATTCTTTTCTTGATTTTTTTAGTCTTCGACTATTTGTCTTCACCAATGTATTTAACGATCTCTCTCAAATTGTGACTTTTTGTTTGATTTTTTGTTAGATTAGGTTGTCTCTCTTTTTCTTTTTCTTTTTTCTAAAGAACTATTGATATTTTATTTCTTCGATATTCTTTTACATCAACTTTAATCTTGATTGTACTTTTGATTCATTGTTCCCTTAAATTATATACTTCTCGACTGATCTTTCCATTATTTTTATTCTTGATTTTCAAGTATTATCCATTCTCATGTTTTATCCTGTCTCAATTTTTTACTCTTTCGATTTCTATACTTTGATCTCAATTTTCCTCGTTCATTATCATTTTTCATTTGAAAACTTTAATATTTACCCTAATTCTTTCTTTCAATGTAATTATAAATTTGTTAGTAACAAAAATGTCCCAAAAAAAATTAACATAAATCTCAATCAAAGAACATTTCTCTTATCTTTTATTCCATCTTCACATGATATTTCTTAATATTTCACTAATCTCAACAAAATCTTAAGTTGTAATATTTATCCTTCCATTATTTCAGTTTATTCTATTCGTAAATGCAAAATTTTTATAATAAATATTTCTCTCTTTTATTATTTATTTAGACATAGGATAAAACTAATATATTTAAATGGGTCAAACTCAAAGCCCATTTACTAAAATTTATTTAAAAGAAATAAATAAAGATACGACGATGCGTGACATTGTAGCAGTATCTCAATAGAAAAATGATACTTTCTAAAACCTAAATCCATACAACTCCTATAAACAACTCTCTTTTAATATTATAATAATAGTTTGACTTTATTTTATTTTTATTAAATCATTCTATAAATTATTATATTAATAAAAATAAATTATTTGAAGGATTGTACGATTTCTGATTTTCAAAATATTACCACTCATCTCAATATCTCAATATCTCAAAATTTATTTATTTAAAAGAGAAAAATAAGGGGATGTATTTTTACCTTTGACCCAAGAAGACTAAAAGCCACAATTACTAAAGAGGAGAGGTCAAAAACCACAATTTTTTTAAAACCGAAAGGCCGAAAGCCACCTGGCCAAATAATGGGCCGAAAGGCTCACAGAGCTAAATGCAAGACCAAAAAGCCACTAAATCAAGTAAATTGGTTGACCGAAAATCACTAAATCGAATATAAATACAGGTTGACAACCACGATTCTCAAACTTTCAAAGCAAAAGCGTCTGGAGTCCAAACCATTCAATGATAAAAATAAAATTTCAAATATTTACAATCAAATACATAAGAAGGACTTAAAACCAAATACATACGGGTTAAAACACTAAACAAAAATTCGGCGGCACTACAGAAATATAACATAATCTACAGTACCCAAGTCCTTATCAGTCCAAACACAGATAAGAAGGAGCGAAAGGACCCCGTCTTCCTCAAGTTAGAACACAACATAATATTGTAAACAACGAAACAAATAAGATCAAAAACACAGTTCACATAATTAAAACCTGCAAGCAGTTTAAAACACAACCCGAATAGCCCCATAATGAAAAGAAAATTGTCATCAATACAATACAAAGAACCAAACCAAATAGAGGAAAAATTGGGTGGGTGTCGGCCAGAAACATGGCAGCCTCTCCCCTCTCAACTCATCACCACCACCAAGGGTCGATTGCAACGAGGACAGTGAGAGGAGGAGCCCCCCGCGAATGCTTGGTCGCGACTCCGAGACCAAACGCGCCGGCAAATTGGACCACCACGAGAGGTAAAGGAATCAAGGTGATAGGGGCCAAAACAAGAGGGTTTCGCGGTGGCGGCCAAAGCTAGGTGATGCAAGGTTGGGTCGGTAGTTTGGCTGGGATGGCCACGGAACAGGTGAGTGAGATGGGTCATGAGAGGGAGCGGCGAGATTGAGGGGGGGGTCAACCGAAGAACACATCGTGGCGCGGGTTGAAGGTGGTTGGAGACTGCCGGAGTAGGGTTTGGGTGGCGAGCCGCGATAGGGAGAGGGTGAAGACGGTTCGCGGTTAGGGTGATGGATGAAGGGTGCGCGGTGGGTGAGGTTTGGTCTTGGAGCTGAGTATGAGGGTGGTGGTGATGGCTCCGCGACGAGGGGCTCGCAATGGTGATGCGGTGGTGCCACGATGGTGGGGCTTGGGTGAGGCCGTGGGCAATGGGATTCAAGGGGAGAGTAAATGAGATGGTGTGCGGGTGTGGCTGTGGCGGTGAGGCGAGATGTGGGTGGCGGGGTTCGGTTTGAGTGATATGAAGAATGGGAGCGTGGAGGTGAGTGAGTGAAGGGCGAGTGAATTGAATGAGAAGAGGGTGAGTGTTGTTGTGGATGAAACCCAGGGGGAGATTGTGCTGCAGATGGTGAGGCTATAGGAGTTGGGTGGTTGTGCGGGGAATGATACTAGTGGAAGGGTGAAGCTAGCCAAGTAGGAAACAAATGAAACCTGGCATTGATGGTGAATGAAGAGGGTGAAATGGAGGTGCAGGATGTGAGTGCGGGGAGAGTGGATGAGCGAGGGAGAGGGGAAGATCCGAGGTAAAGAGGAGAAGACACAACTACGATACTCTAAACCATTAAAAATAAAGAGGAGGGGGAATTATACCTGAGTCTCCTATTTTTTTTATCACTTAACTTGTACGCCTCAGCTTAACATTTCCTGATGTGCGGCTCCCCCTTCTCCTCCACTATTCCTCTCTTTTTAGTTTTATAGCCTGTTTGTGTCACACATCTATTGTTAAGTTAAACTTTAATTGAAGATCTTCATTCTAATTATCAAATATATATCTACAATCTCATACTGTAAACATGTTATAAACTAAATGCGAAAACGTACCTGAATTGACCATAATGACGATATCCTTTGTAGAGCACTTTTGATTTGATCTGATGTTCTTCCACCTGAAGAGCACATGTATTTCCCTCTTGATTTTCTCTCTTGATGGGGATAGAAAGAAAAGAACGGGACTGTAACTGTATTCTGTCTGTGTGCTCTCAGAAGGGGACCATGACCCTTTATATAACCAAAATTAGGTTAATTACTTAAGTTTTAGTATTTTCAATTTGACCTTCATCAAATTAGAAATTACTCTATGGTCTCTACACAATCATATTTTCATGACATATGCCTTTAACCAAAACTTTAATTTATTCAGATCACTTTATTATTTGGCGTAATAAATAATGACCCTAACACATTTATATATGTATCATATATATACATGACCCAAAATTTGCCAACAATCTTCCACTGGTCACAAATATATATGTCTTTACAACCTTACAAATGTGTTAGACTTTATGAGCTCAAAATTATCATTATATTCCTTTAGCATATTCCAAAAGTCCTGTCCATTAATCATATCAGGATATAGAACCAAACCAGCTTTTCATTGCATCATCGCAACTAAAACCAACAAGATTACTCATCCTGACATAACCAAATGACATGGATTCATCATGAAATGTGTAGCATGAAAAATTACGTGAAGGTGATCTGTACACGTCTATTTTCAACTGGTCCAAACTTTAACTTATCGAGATCGATACAATAACCTTAATGTACAAAGTGTAATGAATGAACAAGAAAATCGCATATCTATAGATAACCAAATATGTCCAAAAAACAATGTATACATATATAAAATTAAACATAGAACATAAAATATATGAAAATGACTAACTCCCACTAAACCACAAATTCCTCAAACTGTAAAACACACATGTGAGCAACATGCTCATGAAAGACCTTGGGCGGAAGTCCTTTAGTTAGAGGATATGCTATCATGGAGTTTGTCCTTAAGTGTTCTATGGAAATCTGTCCACTTTGTACTCTTTCCTTAACAATACAAGCTGATTTATTGTCACAATATAACTTAAGTGGTCTTTCAATGCCTTTCACAATTTGCAGCCCTGTGACAAAATTTCTCAGCCATATTCCATGATTTGATGCCTCATAGCATGCTACAAATTCTTGACATCCTGCAAAATATGAGTCAGAAAATCCAGCGATCTCACCTCCTGTATGTGAGCATATAATCTTTTGTTCTCTTTAAATATCTTATGACCATTTTTGTTGTTTTCCAATGGTCTATTCCTGAATTGCTTAAATATCTGCCTAGAACCCCAACTATGTATGTTATGTCTGGACGCGTACATATTTGGGAATACATCAAACTCCCGATAGCTAATGCATGGGGAATCTGTTGCATTTCCTCAATTTCCAAATTCCTCTTTGGGCACTAATTTAGACTAAACTTGTCTCCCTTAATAAATGGAGTATCCCCGGCTCATGACGCACAGGTTCTTGAGGATCTTGAGTTTGGTCTTGACGAACAATCAAATCATCTTGAATATGGGGTTTGTCATCAATATCTTGTGGAGGTTCCAAACTTACTTTATCAAAAGTAACTGTTTGACTCGGTTCTGAATTTATTGTCGATTCTTCCTCCAATACAAAATTCTTAATCTTATTCTTCCCCCCAAACTCAATATCCTCAAAGAACATAACAGTTCCCATCTCAAAAAATGTCTTTAATGTGGGATCATAAAATTTATATCCCCTGACTCTCTCAGAATAACCAATGAAGTAACTACTTACTGTTCGGGAGTCCAATTTTAGTTTAATACCACGAGATTCTGTATTAAGAGTTGCATTATAGGTGACCACAATATCAAGTAAATATAGATTATCATTAGCCAAAAAATGAACCAGTTATAACAATATCTGAATTAAAAGACAAACTGAACTTATTGTTTCCAAATGAACACAAATAACCTAATTTGTCCAAATAAGAAACTGAAACCAAATTCCGTCTAAAAGACGACACGACAAAAAATGTCTTTTAAATCTAAAATAAAAAACCAGTACATAATAATAATCTAAAATGTTCAATAGTCTCCATCTCCACCAATTTGCCATTTTCAACGTATATTCATCTTTCAGAATTAGTTGACTTCTGGTAGTTTAGGCAACCCTTTCTTTTCACGCCGAGCATGATATTTAGCGCATTGCTTCTTTACGTGTCCAGTCTTATTGCAAAAGAAACATTTATTTTCTTGAGTTTGTTTCTTTTGTTCTGGACCTTTAGCAGCTTCCTTCTTGGGATCCTCCGATCTCTTTCTTTTGCCTTTAGCCTTAAAGGTGCTTGCAAAATGAGCACTTTCTGTCTTGTCTTGCTTTAGCCTTTCTTCTTCTTATATACAATGTGAAATGAGTTCATTAAGAGATCATTTATCCTTCTGACAGTTGTAAGATACCTTAAACTGATTAAACGTTGCGGGAAGAGAAATCAACACCAAATGAATGAGCAAGTCTTCCGAGAGTTCGAGCTTTAGTGCCTTGAGTTTAAAAACAATATTAGACATGCTCATAATGTACTCCCCGATATTTCCTTTGCCCCGATATTTCATGGAGATCAAGTTCGAAGAAGAGTGCTTGCCTCCGCCTTATCACTTTTTGCAAAGCGCTGCTCAATTTCAGCAAGGAACTCTTTGGCACTTGTGATGTTTTCGAAACAAGTGCTCCTAAACACCTCCGGGATGCCGCGCTTAATGATCATTAGACTCATGCGATTTGAGCGATCCCACTTTTCATAATCTCTTTTCCGTTCGGAGGTACTTGAATCCGTAGGAACAGGGGGTTGCTCGATCCTTAACGCAAGATCCATATCCATGCAACCAAGAATAATATCAATGTTCTCTTTCCAGTCCTTAAAATTTGTTCCATTGAGGACCTGGAACAGAATTTAAATTGGCGAATACTGAAGCAATTGTAAGTTGGATTAAAACAAAAGAAATAAACTAATTATGCTCACATTATAAAATTAAATAATTATAAATAAAATATATATTCAAATAATGGTTTAACCCATCTCAAGACACCCAATGCACCATCAATATCAAGTCTTTGGACGAGTAATATTAACTGCTAGAGGTATCTTGTTGTAATAATCAAACATTGACAATAAAGCACGTCCAACAACAAACCAGTCTTTGGATTGATTTATCATCGACAAAGCAAATCCTTATAATTATCACATGTTTATCATTACAAGTGTGTATGCAATTCGGCCAAATATTAATCTTCCTTTGGGTCGACTAATACTCGCATGAATATACACAAACACTAACATTCAATATTTTTCATGAACTACCCAATTCAAGAGAGGTTACTTTGGTAACTTCTTGACTCAATTTGCTCACAAAAAAATATTAAACTACCAAAAAATTGAATATATTAATTATATAGAAAAACCAAATATTTATAATTCTAAAGAAGGAAAATTTTATAATTTCTATATATGCACTTTAAGTTGGATTGTTTTGAAATTTGTCAATTAAATATATATGAAGGAGCTGCATCTGAACTTTGTCATCACCGCATGAGCAGTCCAACACCAATCCTTATCCCCACGCACATCCTAAGGCCAATTTTTCACCTTCCAACCAATTTACGCACCCACATTGGAGTCTTCAAAATGTTCTTTCCACCTTCTAATGGATGCAACACTGTTAAGAAGTAGTACATATGTCCTGATACCTTAGAGGTCAGGTATAAGAGGCGAGCCATAAATGACATCCAAAGCAAGCATTGCCCATGGAAGATAGAAGGCCTTAAGAGCAATAGGCCCATATACGTTGATTTGGGCTTCAAAAATTCTCTACTCCAAACATAAAGGAGCATAGAAACAAGCGATACTGCCAAAATTGGGGACCACTCTCTTCCCCCAACATCTTGGCCAAATTGTAAGCCATCATGCCTCCATAACTCGTTCCCACCACCTGGATTAATTTTTGTGAACGGGGCCACCACAACAAGTCCCGATGCTGCATATGGTTGCGTAAAATCTACAATCCTTGTCCAATTTGTGACAATAGCAATGTCACCGATGGCACCATCAAAGTAACCAGTTCTGATTAGGTTGACAAGTTCTATGTAGCTTGGATTTTTTGTGTCCGTCTCCAAATGGGACAAAATGGTAAGGAACAGCATAAGGCAACAAGTTCAGAGCTGCTGTGAATACATCAACACAAAAAACCTTTAAACGTCTCAGTTTCCTGCACTGGTGAGACAAATTCACGGTAACTGACTCGGATAGGCACACCAATTCTCAACTGTCTACCATTATTTGGGAAGACCCATCCACGGGGTTTAGATACTATTTCTCCAGGCCATATCACACTATAAAGCTTCTGGTTCGCACTTGATCTATTAGGTGGTTTTGCATACAATATCTCAGGAGATACGATTGACAAACCTGAATAGTTGGACCAGTAACCAATCCTCCTAAGGCCAGTTCCAACCACATTAAGGACGCCATAGGCAGGATGAACGAGAGACCCATCTGGCTCAAATTTCATTTGACCAAATAATCCAACAAAATTACTCTGCAATATGTTATTCAGCAGAAGCGTTCCATTGTCAAAAATGCTCATCGCATCAAGGTTTAAATCGCCTCCTTTACAGCGACCGACACCTCGCCGGACATCACCCACGGTGTCGCCTGGTTCAGCAGCGACGGCGACACCATGCCAAGCCGCGCTGCCAGCGCATCGTCCCCTCCGCCACCGAACATTGACCTCTTCACCACCGCGACGTCGTTTCAACGTGAATTCGTGATTAGGGTTTTGGAAATGCTGAATTAGCCAGAGGCCTAAGACACCGTTGTTCAAACCTCTCCAACGCTTCCCCTTTCCGTCGCGAGCAGCCCCGCGACTGAATTAGCCAATGAAGACGAAGGAGCAGAAGCAGTTTCGGGGTTTCATCCTCAAATACGAAATTAGGTTTTAAAATTGGGGATTTTACCCCAAATTTGATTGTAGGGTTCATAAAATTTGAAGATTATTCTCCAACTAGGGTTATTAATTAGCCAGAATCTGAATTGGCCAAATGCAAACATGAATCAAGTATGGGTTGCTCTGATACCAATTGTTAGGTTAAACTTTAATTGAATATGATCTTCATTCTAATGATCAAACATATATCTACAATCCCATACTGTAAACATGTTATAAACTAAATGCGAAAGCGTATCTGAATTGGCCATAATGACGATATCCTTTGTAGAGCACTTTTGATTTGATCTTATGGTCTTCCACCTGAAGAGCACCTGTATTTCCCTCTTGATTTTCTCTCTTGATGGGGATAGAAAGAAAAGAACGGGACTGTAACTGTATTCTGTCTGTGTGCTCTCAGAAGGAGACCATGACCCTTTATATAACCAAAATTAGGTTAATTACTTAAGTTTTAGTATTTTCAATTTGGCCCCTCATCAAATTAGAAATTACTCTATGGTCTCTACACAATCATATTTTCATGACATATGCCTTTAGCCAAAACTTTAATTTATTCAGATCACTTTATTATTTGGCTTAATAAATAATGACCCTAACACATTTAAATATGTATCATATATATACATGACCCAAAATTTGCCAACATTCCTCTCTTTTTAGTTTTATAGCCTGTTTGTGTCACACATCTATTGTGTTTTTAGCGGATGGAACGTCTATTATTCGTGTTTGTATCCACCCATTTGAGGGGGACGTGGACATATTTGAGCTTAGATGAGGAATAATATTATGAAAGAAAGGGGAAAGAGAAGAAAGTTACACACTTGCCCTTCTATCAGGATTCAGTGGAATAATGCATGACTGTTTGCATGCATACAGGGAGACCAGGGAATAGTTGGTGGTGGTGTGTGTTGGTAGGTCTGGGCATACATGCAACACACCCAAAAATGGTGCAGATGTCTTGGTGGTGGTGCTTGGCCGATAAAAAACTGGTTGAAAGAGATAGAGAGAATCACCTATTCTTTCATCTTCGAACTTAAGAATCAATTATCCCTTCTTTTAGAGGCATGGGAATCGATTCTCCTTCAGAACATAATCGATTTTCACTTCTTGTATATGTGGCGAGAATCGATTCTCGACCTCTTTTATGTGAATATGCATGTGCATGGGTGGGTGGTGTTATTGTGCATGGGTGGGTATAGTACTATTTTCTCTGATGTTGCATGCATAAGACACCATCTGAGAATCAATTCTGAACGTTATGAGAATTGATTCTTTCACTTCTTTAAATGCATGCAAAGAACATCATAATCCATTCTCAATAATCAGTTCTCTTCCCATGTTTCTAATTCATTTATTAAGATTAAACTTACATGTTTGAAATTATACTCTTCAGCAAGAATCAGTTTTCAAATAATTTATTAATATTAAATTATATATATTTAATGTATTTAATTATTATTATTAAATAATAAATTTTGTTTATTATATATATATAGTATTAATATTGTTATTAATATATTAATAGGCTACAGAGGAGAATCATTATCCTTCTCAAATCATTTCTTAGTATTAATAATAGAATCTCACTTTTATAAGAATTGATTCTTTCGTTTTTAACTTTTTTTATTAATACTAAATTATACTTATATTTAATTATTACTATTAAAAAATAATTTAGGTTTGTTATATATATATATATATATATATATATATATATATATAATTAATAGTGTTATTAATATATTAATAGACAAAATTCATTTTGACCAAGTTAGAGTTCTCAAATCATTTATTAGTATTAATAAAGAATCAATTCTCACTTTTATGATAATTTATTCTCCTTTGCTCTTAAATTTTTTATTAATATTAAATTATACTTATATTTAATTATTATTATTAAATAATAATTTAAATTTATTATATATGTATTTAGTATTAATAATGTTATTAGTCTATTGATGATAAATTAAAAATTTTATAATTATCAATTATTTTAAAAAAATTATAATATAAATATTTGATATGATTTTATAAGTTAATTATAAATTTAGTGGAAAAAATATATAAATTAAATAATCAACGTTAAGTAATATATTTCAATAATCTCGATATTAATATTGTAAATATTAATTTTATTTTCAAAAAATTATTAATAAATTATTATTATTATTATTATTATTATTATTATTATTATTGGTGTATTAATACTTTAAACAAAATAATAAAAACTAGATGAAATAATAATACATAAATAAATAAAAATAAAAATTTATTATTTTTATAATGTATTGAGTTTTATATTTTTTTCATTTTTTATCTTATATAATTATTTTTATATGAAATCTACTATAATAGTTATTTTAAAAATTATAGTAAGATGATTTAATTATTAGTTTATTACAATTTTAATGTGAAACAATATAAAAAGAAAATAATGTGGGAAACAATTTTTAAAAATTTTTCTATTTTAAATGATAATCCACATCTCATTTTAACATAATTTACCTTAATTATATTTTATTTTAAATTATAATTTTAAGATAAGAGTAAGATTGTAATCTTACAATTTTTATCAACTAAAATATTTTTTTAATCTATCAAACCAATCACATCACTCACAAACTTTCATAAATTTTTATTTCATTTCTCTTCATTTCTTACTAACTTTCTCTTAATCCAAACAACTCCATTTTTTCCTCTTTTTCTCTTGAAATTCACTCCTTTTTACACTCTTAAATCCATGCTTAAATCCAAATACAAGCTTAAAGTGAAATTTTAGGTTAGGAGTAGTGTAAAATTAGGGTAAATTATCATGAGATGGACTAGACCAAATCTTAATTTTTTTTCTTTTTTTTTCTTTTGCCTCTTTTTCCTTTTCTTTCTTTCTTTCTTCTTTTTTTAATTTATTTTTTCTAAAAATTTAAAAATCCTAAAAATGTTAATTTTTAATAAAGACAATTATTTTTTTTCATTTTTCATCAATATTTTTTTCTTTTTTTTTAATCTTAAAAAGTAAAATATTGAGAAAAATAGAACTTTTTTCATCTTTTTAATCCTTTTTTTCATATTTTCAAAATAAATGTTGCTATTATTTATTATTATTATTTAATATTTTTTTATATTTAGTTGGAGGAAATTTAGTGCTAACAACATCTATAACATAGGTTAATCGGAAAATGTTTCTTGTGTTGAGGATTGAGAAGTACAATGATATCTCCATAATATACTCAATATTTCCTCAACCCAACATCATTGTCCTTGTTTGAGTTTGCATTTAAGCTTGCTTAAAATGACTTTATTAGCAGTTTCTATTAGGAATGACAAAACGGGTCAGTTCGCCCCGTTTTGGCCTGTCCTGTCTTTGGCCACCAAAAGCAGGGCAAGGTGGGCTAACCCGCTATAGTCATGGCAGACTATAGGTCTCAGCCTGTCCCGCCAAAGGGCGGGTTGATCCGTCATATTTTTTAGTTTATTTTATTTTATTATTTTTAAATCAAATCTTTCAATAAATTTAATAATAAAATTATCAATGTCAATAATTCAATATATATATATATATATATATATATATATATATATTTCAAGTTAATAATATAAATTGATATATTATTTTAATAAATTATATTTTAGAACAAGTAAATTAAGATAAAATTTATATAATAATAAATACATATATGTAATAACAAAAATTTATTAAATATTTATTTTTTATATTGAAAAGTTTAAACATTTAAATGAAAATTAAATTAAATTTATTTATTTGATAAAACTTCACATTATTCTCCTATTGAGTAATTGTCACATCTTTAATTTAAAACAATCAATGTCCAGGATCATTAGATGCAATACTAAGAGAAAAAAAATGAAACCTTAAGAAAATAACAAATATAAAAGAAAGTATAAAAGTATGAGATATATATGATTTTTACCTTATGAAAAAGGATGAACAAGAAGGAGATGATGAGTAAGGGGAGAGGAGAGAGAGAGTTTTTCTCGTAATGTGAGTTTAAGTAATTATAAAACTTTTTAAATTCTCTTAGTAGTGAGATGCTTGAGGCTTTATGAATTCTCCTTATGAGATACTTAGACTTTTAGAATTCTCTTTTCATAAATCTTTATATTATATATTACCTTTCTGACTCTTTGTATTGTATCATAATAAAAAAAAATTTATTAGTAAGTCGGGTTGCGGGCTGGTCTGCCCCGCCACGTGGGTTGGCCCAGCTGGTTGGCGAGCTTGGCAGGGCGGGCCCTGACGGGCTGAAAGTACTAACTCGCCCCGCCATATTATGATGGGTTGACGGGCCGGCCCGCTGAGCTTGACTCGTTTTGTCATCTCTAGTTTCTACTTGTCCATTTTTGTTAGGGTGTTCTAAAGTTACTAGATGCTTCACTGATAAATCTTCTAAAGGTTTTTCTAAATTTTATTAGTAATTTATTTCCATTATATGTAACTATAGTATGAGGGATTCCATGTTTACATATAATATTCTTTCATGAGAATTTTTTTACTTGTTGTGTTGTAATTGTGTTAGGGGTTCTACTTGAATCCATTTGGTAAAGTAATCAATTGCTACAATAAGAAATATTATTTAGCCTTTTGTCATAAGGAAGAGGTCGAGTATATCAATCCCCCATTT